GAAAAATACTAAGCAAAATAAAGAGCCCTTGTGTTTTAAGATACTACAATTTTAAAGTATAATGTCTTTTTCAATTTTTATCCAAAAAAGAAGTGTTCACACACATTTCTGAGTTACCTAAAATTTCTTCAATTCATAATCCAAACTCAAATTGTGGATCAGTCCTAGGAATTCTTTTGCCGGGTTTATGAATCTTTGTGAGTAATTCATCAATGGATATGAAGAAAGTCATAGCACATTTGAAACGAATTCATTTTACTATTCAGTGAATAGTGCCAGAATTAAACAGAAAGTTTACGAGTAATTATCTTCCTTTAGTTTTCTAATATCCTTTATGATCATATAAGTTTATAATAAAAAAGTAGTTACCATTTACCTGTCTGTCATCAACAAAAAGTAGTAGTTTCATAAAAAGTTATTTCAATAAAGAAAATAGTTAGACTGTATATCAGTATCAGATTAAGTATCTATACTAATAATTATGATATATAGCTAAGGTCCACAGTAAACATTCTGGTAAAAAATATTAATAATACACATCTATGAATCAAAAGTCACTCTGATTAGAAATATAAAGAGAGTTGTTAAGATAACCTTGTATGTTTACAATATATTTTTATTTTTTACGATTATATGTATTTAACAAGGCTTACATATGTACATAAATACACACATGTGTGTGTGCATGTTGTGTGTGTGTGCATCAGACTGCAGAGTGGTTTTATGCTTCAGAATACAGACTTTTCATGAAATATGTTTCTATCCTGATATATTGATTGCTGTGCTCCTACCAACTTCCGAGGATGCACTCTCAGAGCTCTGACACATAAGCATGCTGTTCTTTCTATGGCAAAGAAGCCATTGATGTGCATGATGCATAACAGGTGTCTGTGCCAAAAACCCTGAACACAAATTAATGGCTTCATTATAAACCAGAGCAATAGTAAATGCTGTGTAACTGACAATGACTAAACCCCTCTGACCAAAAACACCACCAGGCTAAATAATTAAACATTTATTTTGCAAATTCAAATTGCATTTAAAATAATATTAATTTTCTAGAACTGTGGGAATGCTTCGGCAGAAAAGAATCCATTTATACTAGGTGATTTCAAGCTTTATATTTCAGTTTTATAATTAGAGTGACCCTGTCATTTACTGTCAAATAAACACTTTTGAGAGAGAAATGTGGCACTAATTATGGTGGAGGACAGCAGGCATAAACTAGGACTCGTTCAGGCAAACCAGACCGTATGGCTCACTTACTTGTAAGTAAAAACACCAACAAATCCAAATATTCTTTGTTCTACTAAGTTTTTTAAATCTTACTTTTAATATAAAAGTCTGCATATCTCATTATATGTATACTGAAGGGAGAGGAAGGCTGTCTTTGATATCTATTCTGAGTAAATCCAGTCCTATTATGCCCCTGTGTGGCCAAACAGCAAATTTACTGTCACACATATAGTGACAAAGAAATAATTACATCTGGAAGAAAATACATATTTCTTCACTGTACAAAAAAGATTACTAAAAGCCAGTAAATAGAAAAACTTAAAGGATATTAAGTACATTTTCCAGAAATGTTACCACAAAAGATAGTCATCATTTGAATACTGTTCAAAGCAATTGATTACTTAACACAGTGAACTCTATTAAAAATATATCTTATGGCATTCCAATATTTATGCTTGCTTCCAAAGATAAGATTACAAAACTTAGATTTCATAATGAATTCAGTACTTGAGGGCTTTTCTACTGACAACAAAAGCAATTATCTTTGTATCCTGATTAATTTAATTTGGGGAAAATGAGTTTACAGTAAAAAAAAAAAACCAGACCTTGATAACAAGAATTTAAGTTAAAGTGGCATTTCATGAAAACCTATCAAATGGATTTATACAGGATGCAGACGCTGATTTTTTTCTTGCTGAACCTCAGTCATTTCATTTTAGCTCTAAAAGAACAGATGATATCCTGCCACCTCGTTTATGCACTAAAGTGGTACTCAAGAACCACAATGATAACAGAATAAATTAAGAACTTTCAGTTTGAAACATAAAGGTCATGTTGTATGTTTTCCAACAAAAAGTTAGTTTAAACTATTCTAATGATTTTCACTCACAACTAAATGTCAATTATTCATTACATAATAAAATACTTTTAACAACCCATATTAATCTCTAGTTTAGTGATTTATGTTGCATGATGTATTATTGGTATATTTAAAATCTGTGCTCCTTTGACAAGTTGAACCTGGAAATGTTTTTGGAGTAATTATTATGGGAGGTAGTCATCTTTTAATCTTTTATTTCTAATATGTCTAGAAGTAAACTGCCCTATCACCTGACAACCTGATGAAAGTTGAGTTGCAGACTTAGGGATACAGTTAGTTACCTAGGAAAAGTCTCAAGACAACTACTTGAAAGGGTCCCCTTTTAATAATATATTGTCTATAATTTATGCATAATACTATTCAGTAATTTGTCCTAGAAAGAAATTCAGAATAAAATATAACTGTCCATATCTATGATGCTATTTTCTGTCAGTTTAAAGATTGTAATTAAGGTCACAATACAGATACTGAATATTCCATTTCAACTGATCCAAACAACTAAATGATTACTATTCATGTAATAACAACCAAAACTGTTCTTTCCAGAGGTGATAGTTACATAACTGATGCTTCAAATCTCAAAAGCATAATGTCTAGTCCATGAAGTTGAAAGGCCCATTATTAAGAAACATTTTTAAAGTTGTTTTCTTCTAACTTCTAACTTCTAAAGTCTTCTAACGACATACGCAGGTTAATTTTTTTTTCCATGATTTTTTTTCTTCAAGGATGATTTTTTTAGTCCACATCCTACTTTGCAATTCAATGCTAACTGAAATGTTGAAGTCTAGGTATTTGTATTTTTTAAAAGAACCTAAGCAGAATAATTTTAAAAGACCATTGTATCTGATCTGAACACAAAGTCACCAAAACATTAAAATATGTGGAAGGAGGCATTAATTGCGAGTTCATATACATTTGTTTTCACTCTTCCTTCTGAAAAACTATTTGTACAACTGGTTTTGACTGATTTTATAAGTAAATCAAGTACTTGAATATTTATGAAGATCAATAGAGCTACATGTGAAAATATGTCATATGTTTCCTGAAGACTAGGAAGTTAAGAATATAGACAGGGATTTTTTTTCCCCTAAAACAGAATAAATTCTTTATCGATTAATTGCTAGTCTCAGGTAATTTAGGTAAAAAATCAAAATAAGTTAAATAAAACTGGTCTTAGAGAAGTATTAGAAACTTCACATTTAATGTTTAATTGAAGAAGCATAAAACTCCAGATTTTTAATAATGAGATCATTATAATTATAAGCATGACAACAATAAATGAAACTTGAAGGAAAGCAAATGTATAGTGGTAAGGATATACAAAATTCCCTCAAAAATAAATATCTCATATTTTAAAACTAGCAACATTTATTTTAAAATGAATTCCATACCACGCTGTTAATAGCACAATTTCTAAAGTGCATATACAACCAGCTCTAGTATTAATATTTTTAAACACATAAATTCATGGCATTAAATAAGAGAGAGATCAAACAAGGAAAAGATTTTAAAGGATGAGTACAAATCCTAAAACTCTGGTGGCTTCAGGTCATGGTATTTTTAAGAAAGCCATACTGCCTCTTTTATTTAAATATGACATGCAATACAGATTATTTTTATTATAAATGACACACTTAAGCATTGAATTACTAAATAAGAAAACCCAATATCTTAAAATAATAGATATCGTATTATAGAATATCATAGCATTTCATATACTATTATATATTTTACATTTGTCCAAAAACAAAATATAAAAAATCAAATTAGTTCATTGAACAGAACTGCACTGAGGAAAGAAGTCAAATTTTATAAAAAGCCTATATGCTATACCATATTCAATGGAAAGGTCATAGATATATTTATCATCTGTAAACATTTTAAATGCCTACAAATTTTAAAGCCTCCTTTACATTTGCTACATTAAAACACATACTGTTAATAGGTATTTTTTAAATCTCTAAAATAAGCTATCTCACATCGTTAAGAGACCCTAAAAGGAAGAGACCAGCAAAACCATTCAATATTTTATGCATTATTACTTCTCTCTCAATTTTCCAGAAGATTTCAGTGCATTATCATGTTCACAGAATTTCTCTCTGTCTTTCTCCACATATATTTAGTTAAAATGAGGTCTTTTCTATAGCAGGTATATAACATTAGAAATTCTCAAAAGGCAAACAACTTAAACAAGGGAAAAACTGGATGGTAAAACTGCATTTTAAAGGCATTCTTTATTGCAAGCCAGAGAAACCATCTAAAACATATGTTCATAATTTAACAACCTTCACCACGGGAAAAAAAAAAAAAGACCAGGTTGACAAAGCAATAAGAATTTATAACAAACCATCCTTCTAAACTAGCTGATCTAATGCAAAACGTTATTAGCAGTTCCATAATGGAGCTTGTTTAAAAGTGATTATTGATCTACCCTGCATAGAGAAATGTCTTAGACCTAGAAAACATCTTCCGCATGTTTTACAAAGAGCATGCATGACTGCTAATTCACATTTTCCAGCAAATCACATATGATTATATAGCCTCATCCTTATATATGCAACATAATCACTGCCATGACCACAGAGAAAAAAGTCTATCAAGCATTTTAAGTTAATCCTTTTATTTATTAGGAAATGAAATCATGAAACAGCCTGTATGTTTCAGAGGTCAAGCTAGTTAAATTTAAGATGCTTTCTGGGCTTTGAAGTAAGCTTGTTTTCCTTCTTAAAATCAATTAAGAACACTACATAAAATTTTACATTTCTAATAAAAGACAATACCCTTAAAATGCTAACATTTCAATGCAAAACAATTTTTACAGACATATAAGGTTATCCTCAAAATATCAATACTGAAAGAAAATATAGTTTAGCTTTTTACTCACCTTGCATTGTTCAGCGTTTGTCCAAAAAGCTCATTTTGTAAAATATTTGGTGGGGATGAAAAAACCCCATGAAAATGAGATAAAACAGAATTGCAGACCTGGCGCAATGTCTCAAATTGCATTTTCTTTCTTTTTTTTTTTTCCTCCCTTCTATTTTTCCTTACCACCTGTCTTTAAAGTCATCTATTTGCAGACACCATCAAATAAAAACATGCCAATCAAGTTCCATATTTCTCCTGAGCTCTGTAAAAACTGTGCTTAAATGAGCAGAGGTTGATAGTTAATTGTACAGTCATTATTCTTCTAATTCAGTCGGAGAAGATTCAGCACCCGTGCAGCTTTAGGCTTTCTCCTGACTGTAGCAAGAATTCTAAACAGCAGTAAGCTTTTTGGGCATTCCCAGCTGAAGTGTGAAGCTGAGCTGCTTTCATGGACTCTACTCATATTTCTCTAAGCCTATTAAAAACACGCAATGAATAGATGCTGTCGTCAGGAGTTTTAGCACATCTGGCTGCCAGCAGTAAAATCTAAGAAGTAATAAAAATGAGGACAAGGGATCTTCTCAATGTTACTTCTGGGTAAGAGGAGGAGAAATTATGCATTTCCCAGCCCTTTTCTCTTTCCCTGAAAAATGAATAACTCCAGCTACAGAGCATATAGGTCTCTTCAGCGTTCAGGTTGCTGCATAGGACCAGAACTCTAAAAATAAGTGGTATATTCTTCTTTTGGTATCATGAAGCAATAAAAATATGATAGATAAAAGAGCTTTTATTGCCTGCATTTATAATGCCATACTTCTAAAGAAACATTTGGAAAACATGTACTTCATTGTCTTAATTTCTTATTTAATTTTAAAAGTTTTCATTAATTATTTTTTAAGACAAGTGAATAATGTTTAATCTGGTCCCTCTTAAAGGGCCATATATAGGGGCTACATGATTATTCATGTAATGTTAGAAAAGAAAAATAGCCTATTAATTAAAATTCACTTAAACAGCACACATAAATATGAACTTTTCCACAAATCAAAAAATGCAAGGCCAGACAGACTTTATCTATCAACTATTATTCATTTATTTCAACAATAGGGTTACAGCACTTTTCAGAAAAGGGTATTTCCTGGAGGCTCCAAAAGTCTTGGAGTACCCCAGATCACCATCTACTCTCAATAAATACTTCTGGTTTAGATAAAATCTTAGATTTTTCTATATCCAGATGCATCCATCTTACTACAAAAAGCTCTAAAAGTAGTGCAAACAAAATTTTAAAAATCAACTCACTTATAGAAATTATTAATATATTTATTGATCTTTAATTGCTCCTAAACCATTACATTTCTTTAACAGATACATCCCTTTAGCCCTTTTTTATCTCAGCTTTTAGTCCTTACCCTCTCTATCTCCTTCCACACACATACCACTATTGATAGAGGCACTGAAATACACTAAGAAGTTTTTTAAAAAACTGGTGAATTCCTTTTTGACATGAATAAACATGTCACAAGAGAACAACACAAAAACATGTAATGTAAATTTTTAAATGACAAAATTAATATTCATAATACACACTTTGAAGCAACTAATTTATTTCTTTTATAAACTATGATGTTGAATTATGAGTTTGTCCTCAACTCATATACGAGTAGCCCTATTTTGCTTATTTAATTTCAGGTTTTTATAGGTACACACTAATCTATCTATGAAATACATACATATATATATATACACACACACACACACATATATATACACACACATAATAATCATAAAGTACGTTTTGGTTTATAAAGTACTTCTAAATTTATTTTTTAGTATCCAGGAAACATTGAGTCGGTGGTAATGTTGCTACTGTTTTATAGATGAAAAGAAACTGAGGCTTTAAGGGGTTAAAGATCACACAGCACATAAAAGACGTATTCTATTCGAGTGAAGGTCTTTGCTTTGGACTTCATTTCACGTACTCCTCCCTATCATTCTATCTTCTATATGTGCACACATGAGCACGTGCGTGCGCATACACACAGGATACACACATCTATTTGTGAATAGATCAGTCTCTATAGATGAATAGGGCAACTACTTGCCAGCAACCAATCAAGGATAATTCATTTAGACCAAACATCTCAAATTTTTTAACTCACAAGTAACTTTAAATGGGTTTCTTCCATTTACCTCAAACAGAAGCAACCTGATGTGCCTCAAATTTTTAAGCCTCCCATCATAAGTTGATTTTTCACATCTATGAAATATAAATTTCTGTAAGTGGAGACATATACATTTTTTAAATTCTTAATTTCAAAGCTCATGTTATCTGTGATGAAAAAAAAGTAAATATATGTATGTATTTCCCCCTGTGGGTAGATTCAATTTATATAAATAATCAAAAGCCTTTTTCAAGCAAGTCTATTAAATAAGATGGTGATTATACAGCAAAACATTCTCTGTTGTTAAAAAAAGTTTCTTTTGTGTTTCAAAATTGTATCTGAAGGCCTGGTCCCGGGAATACTTTCAAAAATGGTCTAAGCAATGGGAATATCACTGGAATGAGCATTGAAAGGACTTTGTTAAAAGAGTACACAATATAGCACAACTGCCTTTTTCTCAGAGCCTTATTTTCCAGGTCTCACTAGACAACACACACAACTGGTCGGCTTTCTCTTAGTTTCATCAACACGGTGCAAGTGATTTCTTCCACTTTTCCGCCCCATTACCACCCTCACCTGCTCTACTCATCCTGAAGGGCTCAAACATCACTTTCTTGAGAAGACTTTCTCTGACTTAGATTAGGTTCCCCTTATGCATGCTCATTGTACTCTCTACTTGTTTTTTACCGCACTTGATAAAAGTATAACTACTACATATTTACTTGAAAAAACAGTTTAACATGTTTCATTCTCAGTTACATGAGGTTAAGGCTCACCTATGTTTTACTCATCTAGAATAGCGCAGAGTAGGTGTTCAAAAAATATTTGTTGACTGAACGGGTGCCTAACTTTTATTGAAAAGTGAATTATTCTTAGTCACATCTCGTAAGTAGGATCGGAAACCACCCAAGACTTAATTTGGTTCTTAGTTTCTGTGTTTGTTTTAACCTACCACATCATGTTTATGAGGTTCATAAATATAAGAGCGACCAATATTAACAATCAAAACATTGTGCTTTATGTGGACTTTGTAATTTGTTATGAATATGATAAAAATGTTTATAGCTAATATCTGCTTTGAAATTTCTATATACTGCAGGCTCACAAGTAACATAAATGCTGGAGGCTCTATGCTGATGGAAGAACATGAACATTACATTACATGTTTTTGTGGAGTCAAATGCCCTGGATTGAAGTACTGACTCCAACCACAATACCTCAGGATGTGCACTTTACATATCTGAACTATGGTTCCTTCAAATGTAAAACAAGCTACACCACTTACCTCATAGGGTCATTATTGCATCAAAACATGTAACATATATAAATGCATTTTATAAACTCTAAAGTACATAGCGTTTGGAAATAGCCTCACTATGAACTATCTAAGGAATCAAACTATTGGGACCAGAATTCAAACAATTATGTTCAGGCATCTTTTATTTACCATATTTACTCATGCAACAAATATGTATAGGATTTCTTTGTGCAGGGCTCTAATCCCTCTCAGAATGTAAGGTCTCCAAGTAAGGTCAGCTGAATATTTACATTGAGTCCATCAGCGAGGCATTAATTCTCACAAACAGTGTAGATGATGGCAATTAGTTTCTCTACAGCTGTTCTATTAGGGTCTTGAGCACCTCACCAGAAAGGGCAATGCTAACAAGAGTTCTCACAGAAGAAGAGATGTTACAAAATTTTTAGCAGCAAAGTCAATTTCATTAAAAAAGATATCTAAAAAACTAATCAACACTTGAAAAAGTTCAATCTGAAAGTAAACAGAAGAGCACAATTAGAAATAATAATGTATTTTTGCTTACTAAATTGACAAAGTATTGACCAGAGGGTCAGAGAATGGGCACTCTCATAGAACATTTTGAAAAATATTCAGTAATATGTAGAAAAACTCTAAAAAATGTTCAAAATCTAAGGAAATACTAGAAGAAGAAACACCAAAATGTTAGTATGGGTTATCTCTGGATGAGAACATCACAGATTTTATTTCCATTATATTTTTTTATATACTAAACAAAAGAAAGGCCCAAAGTTTAATCTACCTACAGTGGAGAACTCTACAATTACAACGAAATCATCAACCATAACATATTAAGTATGATGTTGGCCCATGAGCTTTGCTTAGCAATGCTCAAGTGAATCAAATACTAGATTACTAGTTTTCATGTGCTTAGCTATATCCATTAGCAATGGTATCCTCTTCTTTATCAATAAGTTCCTAAAATTCTGTAATAACTTAAATTGTTTAATTAGTACTATGAAACATCCAAATGAAATGAGAAGACATAAATTAGCACTAACATCTTTACATCCCCCTCAAAAATATTTGAAGTATAAGTGCTTAAATTAAAATTATTTAAGAGCTTTGGTTGATAAACACCTTGTGGCTATAAGCAAAACAAACTGGACACAAACTCAGAAATTAAATGAAAAAATAACAATTGGGAAATTATGCTCTTCTAAATTAGTAACAACATAAGCCTCTTACTTGTAAGGCACACTCACTCATAGTATATTTAAATCTAAAGGTTTCAAATCAATATCGCAAAACAGTTTAATTTAAAATACTTTAAGAAGTTTTCAAAAATGTGTTGATGCTCAGTTGTTTTCTGATGTACAAAAAAAACTGCAGTATTTCCCGGAACTTTAACTCTGCATCTATCTGTCTCTAGTTTTGACCATTGCTGCAGAACACACCCCTTACAGTTTCTGCCATCTACTGGGTTGTCCGAAAAGTCATGACGCATTTTTTGCAACAAAAAACATAAAAAAATACGTCATGACTTTTCCGACAACCCAATAATTCAGAAAGGAAAATGGGAAGCATAGTGAAAGCCTCTACAAATGTATGAAGCCCCACCAGTATTATCATCTCTCTGACTCCTCTTTCTAGGCCAGAAATGTGAGGGTTAATCCTACTGGGCTTTGGCTCGGTTTGCATTATTATGAGGTGTATTACAGGGTTCCAAAGTCCAGTGCCAGAGCTGCTCTTACCAGAGCAGTTCCCACGCCTACAAGCTGGCAGCAGCAGGAATATCTTTCCCATGGATGCAAGAGTTAGGCTACTGAGCACCAATCCTAGATTTAAGATCCCAGGTGAAAATCTCTAGCATGATTATCTACTCTGACACCTAAAGATTACACCTAGAGGAAAGAGAACCAAGATCTCTGAAAACACAATTTGGTAAGCCCCTCCAGTCTTAGGACTGCTACTTCTGAATACATATTCCCTTGATAATTATCAAGAGAACCACTGGAAGTAACACTACAATTTCAGGAAGCTATACAAATATGAATGAGCTCCAACTCCA